ATCCTGGTCCACCAAGCCCTGAGACGATGTTCCTGTTCAGAGCAGCCAAAGCAGAGAGAGGACCATAGGGCTGGCCCCACTATGAGACATTGTCCCTCACTGACCAATAACACTATGGGGAACAACACTGGAGGCATAGTGAGGGAATTGTGCCCGATCTGACCCCACCACACCAGGGAGAAACACTAAGGGCGTGCAACAGAACAGCGAAGGAGCAAAGCAAGGAAGTTCCCAGGGAATAACAAAAATAGGCTGGGGCCAGAGCACGGCACCCCAATCAGACTCCACCGAAACCACTCCTAAAGATCAACAAACAGACCTGGACTATTTATAGGCTTTTCGTTTTTTGTCGATGGTTTGTTATTGTTTTGTTTTGCTCTGTCTTGTTTTTGTGTTTATTATTTTCTCTGTATGTCTATCTAGATAAGTTAGGTGGGAAAAACAATCTGGAGGAGAAAACAATGGACTGACGGTTCCTGGGAGACACCTGGAAGAGGGGAAGGAGAGGGAAAAGAAGTGGGTGTTAACAAACCCAGGGATAAGAAAACAACAAGTGATCTAAAATCGATGGTGAGGAGGGTGTAGGATGCCTGGTAGGGCTTGATCAAGGGCAATATAACCGAGAAATTATTGAAACTTTAATAAAGGACAAACATGATAGTGGGACAAAAGGAAAGTAAAAGGAAATAGAGGAAAGAGCTAGAAGGCAAAAGACATTTATAGTGATCTAAATACACACATGTACATATGTAAATATATTCATGTATAATGATAGGGAAACAGATCTATGTTCATATATTTATATGTTAAGTATTAAGGTAGCAGATGGACATTGGGCCTATTCAAATACTCAACACAAGAGCTCTTTGTTCTAATAACCTGGCATTGCATGATGCTCATCTTCTCTGATGCGATTGCTGAAAACAAAATGGGTGCATAACCAAATGTGGTAAAGAAAGCTGATGGAGCCAGGCTATCAAAAGATGTAGCATCTGGGGTCTTAAAGGCTTTAAGTGGCCATCTAGCTGAGAAGTAACAAAACCCACATGGAAGAAGCACACCAGCCTGTGTGATCATGAGGTGTCATCAGGACCAGGTAACAGGCATCTGAAGACCACAAACAAACAAACAAACAAACAAACAAAACAAAACCGTGTTGTTGAGAACAAGGTGGGTCAGAGCAGAGACCCAAAGCTCATCTGTAGACAATGGGATGTCCACTCACAGAGGGGTTACAGGGAAGGGATGAGTCAATCAGGGCCCAGTAAAGCACCGATGAAACACGTAATACTCTTCTGGTTCCTTGAGGCTTCCCCACCCCCATACTATCATGACCCTAGTACTGCCTTTCACTGCGGGCTAGACCGAAGCATGTGCACAGGTACAGATAAGACATAAGAGCTCAGGACACATGGAATCCAGGAACTGGAATGGGAGTAGGGATTCCAGGAGGGCAGGGGGCATTTTGGGAGAGGAGGGGAGCAAGGGGGAACCTGTAGAGATGATCGACACATAACTGCACCCCCACCCCACCCCGTGATGAACAACAGAAACCATGGGGGAAGGGAGACAGTGGCCAGTGTAAGATATAAAAATAATAATAACTTATAATTTATCAATGGGTGACGAGCATGGGGTGAGGGGAGGGGAGAACAAGAGGAGTTGAGACCAAGGGCTCAATAGAAAATAAATGTCCAGAAAAAAATGATGGCAGCATATGTACAAATGTGCTTGATACAATTACTGTATGGATTATTACAGGAGCTGTAAGAGCCCTAAAAAACTGTTTAAAGAATATCATCAAAATTGTTAGATTCACAATTATTGTTAATGAAGATTATTACTCTAGGTGAGTGCTAACAAGTGCAATTAATAAAGATATTAGTTCATGTAGATACATTATTTGATTTGTACCTGAAGTTATCTATATTAATTGCACTAGGGTTGTGTGTTGGGCTGCTGACTGAAAGTCATCCGTTCAAATCCACCAGCTGCTTTGAGGCTATCTCATCCCATAAAGATGAGGCTATCTCATCCCATAAAGACTTACAGCCTCAGAAATCATAGATAGCAGAAATCTATGCTGTCCTATAGGGTTGCTGTCGGAATGGACTCTGGTGGCTGACTGGTAGTTAGTAGCTATGTATCTGCATCCCATGACTGCTTTTCAAATTGCTATTTATTTCTGAGCAATATGTTATTGAATTTTATTTAAGTTTTGTACTTTTTAAATATGTCAATTTTATTGATTACAAAAGAAATACAAGAAAAGCTCTGGTGGTGCAGTGGTTTAACACTTGGCTGCTAACTGGAAGTTGGGCTGTTTGAACCCACTAGCCCTGGTGGCTTAGTGGGTTACACATTGGGCTGCTAAATGCAAGGTAGGTAGTTTGAAACCACCAGCTGCTCCATGTTGGAAAGATGAGGCTTTCTACTCCCATAGAAACGTATAGTCTTAGAAACCCAAGGGGCAGTTCTACTCTTCCCTATAGGGTTGCTATAATGATAATATTGTGGAAGAGCTTATTTAAAAAAAATTATTTTTTAATATCTTTTTTCCTTATCTTCAGCCCAACTGGAATCAAACACGCTATTTTCTATTGGAGTGAACCACTCTCCCCAGTGTCACCTTGGAGGTAAACACCTCCCTCTGATATAGAATAGGGAAATATTTTGTTTGCATGCTCTTTTCTCTCTTGTTAAACTAGGAGTCCCTTTTGGATGAGGAACCCTGGTGGCATAGGCTTACAGGTTGGGCTGTTAACTGCAAGGTCAGAAGTTTGGAGGCACCAGCCATTTGGTAGGAGAAAGACGAGGCGTTCTACTCTTATAAAGAGCTACAGTCTTGGAAGCTCACAGGGGCAGATCTACTCTGTTCTATAGACTCACCACGCGTCAGAAGCAACTCAATTCTGTACGTTTTTGGGGTAGGGTCTCTTGGTGGCACTTTCAGATGAGCATTAGTCTGCTAACCACAAGCTTGGTGGTTCAGACTCACTGGTCACTCCACCTGAGAAAGATGAGGCTCTGTTCCTCTTACGATGTGCAACCGTGGAAACTCTAGAGAGGATTGCTATGGGCTGGAATGAACTTGATACAGTGGGTTTTAGCTTCCGGTTTATGTAGTCTGTCTTAGCTTCCTAGTGATGCCTTAACAAAATACTTCAAATTGAGTGGATTTAAAGGAGTGCTCCCCCCCACCTCCCCACCCGCCCCTGCAAGTTCTGGATTCTAGGAGTCAGAATTCAGGGCACAGGCAGGGCTATGTCTTTTCTCTGTTGCCTCTAGGGTACGATCCTTCTGTTGTAGATAAGGTTGCAGATCTTATGAGTTAGAACCAACTACAAGCCGCCTGATAGCAACATATAGCACAGTGACTTTGGGCTCCACTGGAGAGGGAACATTCGGACTAGTTAGTTTCTTCGAAACCATTTCTCTCCATCTGTTTTTGGCACATTGTACACATTTCTTCCTTCTAATTTCTAAATTCCAAGTGGGTGGCTTTTCTGTTGCCTTCTCTTCCTCTTTCCCTGCCTCATCCAGGGTCTGCAGCCCCCTGTTCCAAATGTTTGCTGTGAATGTTGGCCTTGGTGCATCAGTGCTCCACTTTTAGTCAAGCGCCTATGTCCCTCCTGGGAGCAGGGTCAAGTTCTGACTGTGTAAAATAGAATTAAACACAGATTCAAGTTGGCAACCCCTAAGAAAATGAAAGGTATTGCTGAAATCATACAACCATGTTGTGGATTATATTGACTTTTAAAAAGTATCTATCTATAGATAGAGATAGATGTAGAATTTTAAGCTTAATTGATAAAGTCACCAGTGAAAGGTTGCACAAGAACATCCCTAAACTTTTCCCATTGGTGGGAAGACACTTTGTTTCCCTTACCTGTACCATTTTAAAAAACTTAGTGTACTTCTTCATGAGTATAAATACACGATTGCAGTTTTTATGTAGTGTAATTTTTCATGAGTATAAATACACGATTGCAGTTTGTATGAGTGGGTGGTTATTTATTCTCCACACTCCCTCCTAGAAGCACCATGAGCACAGACCCCTGTGCATGTCCCCACACTGAGCACAGGGCCTGGTATAGGGCAGATGCTCCAAAACATTTGCTGCATGAATGCGTGCTGCCACGCTGCTCTCATCCACCCCGACTGACTCAAGAAAGCCGGACTCGCTGCAACTAGTCCATGCCCACTCAGCACAGGGTAGAGCTGCCTCGGTGAGCTTCCCCTCCTGTGACTCTCTCGGGGAATAGGTAGCCTTGTCTTCCTCCCAAGAAGCATTTGGTGGTTTAGAAGGATGAACTTTGAGAATTGCAGCCCGATGTCTAACCACTGTGCCACCCGGGCTCCTTCAGAGGTTGACCAGAAGGTGGGCATTTGTTGTCTGAGAGGGTTTTCAATCTTGGCTCTGCTTCTGTCCAGTCCTGCTGCCCGACTTCTCTGAGCACTTTTCCTTATTTACCAGTGTTGCAGTGCAATCACAGCGTTTAGATGGACATTTTCTGGGTGGATGATGCCTGTCCGCCCCTCCTCATCTCACGGTCCTCCAGTCTGCCCTTTCCTCACCATGGCTTTCTTTTTGTGAGCTGAAGTGGGCAAGAATCGACATCTTGGCAATGATGACTCTTTTTCCACATAAAAGCACAACCGTGAAGTTCATACATCTCAGAGTAGTGTTGCCACCCACAGCTGCAGCTGACCTGACCTGCTGAAGCGGGGACAAAAGGACAAAAGCCCTTTTTTAGAGTACTGTACTGCCAATCTCTGCACCTCAGGAGGGTTCACCAGCAGAGGTGGAATCTAGATGTGAGATGTCTGGGGGGTGGGGGGAGTGGGTGACACTTTCCGAGTCACTGAAGAAACAGACACTTCACGCAGTGGATGGTCTGGGCTAATTTTAGAAGGCAAGTGACCACTCAGTCCTGTATAATTCCTCCCCCATTCCTCTACTAAGAAGACAAGACAATAAAAATAGGTATAACAGGTGGTAAAGTTTATATACAAGAATATAATGTTTATCTGAAATATTTACAGTGTTAGTTAAAGCAGTATTTTTACAACTTTGGAAGGTAAGCTGCTATGTATATTACAGGTAAGCCATAATGCTTTAATTTGCAAAATTAAGTAAAGAAATATTTTAAACAAAGCTTAACGTACTTGGGTTAATTTATCTTGTTTGTTTCTTAATCTGATAAAATCATGCTCTGATTCATGGTTAACATTGTGTTTTGTTTAATCTTTTAAAAATAATGATTTTTGTAAGAAACCAATAGAAGGATTGTAGCTGGAAAATGTAATACACGCAACAGCTAGAAGTTGCCAACTAGGGTGCAACATGACAGGTGAATTGTCCTGACACTTGGACACCGAGTCAGCAGAGATAACGGCCAGCTTTATCTCAACAGGCCCACACCACACAGAAAAATGGGGCCATTTGCATGTTACGTACACAACCTCCATAAAAGTAAAACCAGCTGATCCAAACAGGGGGAAGAAAAAAAACACAAAGACCCAAGTCACAGTTGCATCTATCTATTCAACACTAGCTTAAAAGTGAGCTATTAAAAAAAAAGTGAGCTATTTTAATACTTCATAAAAATATTCATGGTTTTATTCGTTTGAATATGTCTACAAGATTTGGGTGAGTTATTTTTTTTTTTCTTTAGGTGAAAACAGCTATACATTGCTGGGGTCTTAAACTCAGGAGACGCTGGGGGTGCAAACGTGCAAAAGGCAGGGGCGCGGAACTCCGGGTTGGGGCTGGAGCTGCAGGGGCTGTGCTTGGGAAGGAGGGCTGAGTCCCGGGAGGAGAACGGGTCAGCCAGCTCTGGAGCCCACCCGCCTGCCCGCCACCAGGGGCCACCTGGGCGCTGGGAGCAGCTAGCACTGCAGTTTGCGGATGCTGCGGGAGATGCGCTTGAACTCTCTCTGCCCCTTCTGCCACCGCTTCACCGAGGTGATCACCAGCTCTCCGCCCTGCTTCTGCCCCATGACCAGATAGGGCGCGTTGATGTCGTTCATCTCCTCGCAGGTGCACTGCAAGCTGTCTCTCAGCCACAGCACCGACTTCTTCAGGTCTCGTTCCGACACCCCGTTCAGCTTGTAAATGGTTTTGCTCTTGGTCTCGAGGATGATCTTGGTGTCGCGGTTGATGTACGTGATCTCCTTCACTTTTATTTTCAGCGCTGTGAAGACAAAAAGAGGGCAGAGAGACTCACACGAGCTGGAACTCGGGGCTGGGATCTAAGCAGAAACCCTGCTGGTGGTGCAACGGTAAGCGCTGAGCTAGGAAGCGACAGGTTGGCAGTTGGAAGCTCTCCGCTAGCTCTGCTTGGGAACGTCTTGGAGGTCTGTCCCTATAAAGATGACAAAGCCGTGGGATCCCACAACACCTAACAACCACAATCGCAATAAACTGGGAGCTTTCCTCACCCTGCTTTACTCTCTATTTGTGTGACGGCCTGGGGGAGGGAAGTCCAGCTAGGAAGCTGTGCGAGGCAGCGGGAAGGGAGGGGGTTGGGGGCTGAGGGGCAGCAGGTGGCCCCGTTTCGAAAGACTCAGAGTCTTTCAGACAGTTTGTTCCAAATCAGCCATCCTTTGAGAACACTGTTTCTTCGCAGGCCCCCATTAACTTTCTTCTCCTGTCCTTGCCTGTGTGTGTAGACATGCACGCGTGCATGTGCACGTGCACACGAAGGCCTGTGTGTGTTTAACGTCGGTTGCATGTGGCCCGTGCTCTGCCCAACAAATGACTTCCCCTATTGGAAACGTCAACATGAAACGAAATGCCTGCCTCTTAGGGGAAACCCAATCCTCCCGTGGCCTTAAACTTTAAACTCAATTTATTACGTCGGAGAAGTTTTTGGACAACCCTGTAAGGAAAGTGTATTACACAATCATTGTTTTCTAAAGAACAGATTACAGGGAAGGAGAATTGATCTTCCAGCTGCATTTGATTTGGTAAAGTAACTAGGAGTGGGGGGGGGGGAAATGCAAGGCTCCTTTTTAAAAAGAGCACAACTTGTTTAGCTGTAAAACTGTTTTTCGGAATACCTCATCCTAATATGTTATCATTGCCTGTCCACGGCCAAGGCGTTTACAGATATATAAGTACTGTTTCCAAAACGTATATGTAAACTCATTAGAATGCTAAGGCCAAACGTAAGTGGTTTACCGTAAAAGACACATTTTAGAGTCTTGAACAGTATTCTTTGAGAAAGAAAACCCTATAAACACGAACCCTGGAATTAAATTTCAAGACTCCACAAAGACAGGAAAAGGATGGGATCTGAAGGTTGAAAGATCATCCAGTTAAGATCTCTTGCCTAAGACATGAAGAATCTTAAAAACAGAGACATTTAATAACTTCTGAGACGCCCCGGTGGAGCCGTGGTCAAGTGCTTGGTTAATAACCGGAAGGTAGGCATTTTGAGTCCACCAGATGCTTAGTGGGAGGAAAACGAGGCAGTCTGTTCCTGTCAAGATTACAGCTTTGGCAACCCTATGGGGCAGTTAGCTGTACCATGTCTATAGGGTCAGTATGAGTCACACGTTGATGGCAGAAGATAAAAAGAAAAGCCCCAAACAATTATACACTCAAAATATCTCGAATACTAATTCAAGCAGCACATTGCTTGCCATCAAGTTGATTCCAATTCACAGCAACTCTGAGGGATAGAAGTCGAATTGCCTCCCAGGATCTCCAAGACCGACTGCCAGGCCTTTCTTCCAGAGAGCAGCAGTGCTCAAAGCACAAGGGAATTCAACCTGGCATGGCTCTTCCAGCCAAGCAGGAAATGAGAGTTCAATCAGGTTAAGTCAAAGATGCTGTGAGTTGGGCAATCATGGCCTTGTCTAATTTTCATCTGCACTGTACTTCTGATTTCTCAGAGCTTATGAGACTTAAGTCACGACGGTCACATAGATATGTCACATGTTCCTACAGTCTCTGCCCAGGAGGCAGGGGTGCTGGAAGACAGCACGGATTGGGTATGTGCAAGATTCCACCTAGTGAAATAAAACATTCTTGCTTCAACCTCAGAAACATTCTCACTTTTCATCTGGGAGAAGGTTGATTTCTTAACTTTCTGGAGCTCTGAATGAAGCAACTTTACAAAAATTTACCAAGGGGGAACTAACTTCCTGGACTTTCACCCAACTATAGGGAACTCAAGTCCCAAAATAGCTCTCCTTCTCCCGGAATGAGAATGCAGGATATGTCTGGAGACAGAGGTGAGGACACTGTCTGGTCTAGCAAGAGTGCTGACTGCACTAGGAGGCTGTTCTCATTCATAATTTACCAGCACTTAAGCCCTGATCAGAATCGACTCGATGACAGTGAGTAAGCCCTGGCGGCAGTGTGGCATGGAGCTGCAAACCACAAAGTTGGCAGTTCAAACTCACCAGCCACTGCCTTGGAGAAAGTTGAGGCTGTCTGCTCCAAACAAACAAACAAATAAATAATATACCATCTTGGAAACACTATGCGTCAGATATAGGAGCCCTGGTGGCATAAGTGTTACACTTTGGGCTGCTAACTGCAAGGTCAGCAGTTCAAAACCACCAGCTTCCCCTTGGGAGAAGAGTCTTCTCCAGACCCGTAAAGAGTTATAGTCTAGGAAGCCCACAGGGGCAGTTCTACCCTGTCCAATAAGGTCACTATGAGTCATCATTGACTCCATGACAGTGTGTTTTGGTTCATAATTGAAGTGAGAAATCATTCTTCATGTTCTCTGTTCCTTAGGAGAGGGGAAGTTTGTGATATTTTCACAGATGATGCAAATTTTGAAATCTAGATTTCTCCACATGTCCCTCCAACCCTCCCTCAGAAAACTCACTCATTCATTGCTATAGAGCCTATTTTGACTCATATAGGACAGAATAGAATTGCTCCTATGAATTTCTGAGACAGTAACTCTTAAAAACAACAACAACAAAAAAAAAAAACGCGAAACTCATTGCGGTTGAGGTGATGCTGACTCCTAATGACTATTAAGAGAGGGTAGAACTTCCCCCGCGAGCTTCCCATATTGTAACTCTTTATGGGAGTACAACGCCCTACCTTTCTCCCTAGGACCAACTGGTGCTTTCGCAGCTCAGCGTGTAACGACTCACAGTTAACAGCTCCGTGCATAACTACCAGGGCTCCTCTGTAACTGTTTCAGGAGTAGAAAACCTCCTCTTTCTCCTGAAGAGTAGCTGGTAGTCTTGAACTGCTGACTTTGTGGCTAGCAGCCCAACCTGGAACCCACTACACTACCAGTCTTCCTCCCTAAAAACACAGGCCATACATAAAACAGAAGTAAGTGATGTAGTTTATCTTCAGAAATTCAGCTTATCTCTGAAAGTAAATGTGGGGACGTAGAAAGCAAAGCTTGCAATGTATCTTCAGGCACTGCGTTTAATGGGACGACCTCAGCCTTGTTGTAAAGGGTTATTTTTTTGTGTGTCTAAGGAGGAAGAATGTGAGGATGTACTCACATCCTCAGCCAGTTTTCAACCCATGTTTTGATGGGCATCCTCAGCAAGCAACCATTAGAGAGAATGTGTGTGTCTCCAATCCAAACGCTTGGGATCCCCACAATAAGATAACTTTTTCAAGGAAGCCAAGAGAGAAATGTGTTAGGTTGCTAGCACAAAAATGATATCGGAAAATGTAAGTGTTCTATGAAAATTACTTCTTTCTAGCGCATCCTTAAGCAAGTCTGGTAGCGGGGCGGCTGAAAACTCCTCTTTGGGCAAGGCTCTGGTGGTTTGGGGGATTCTGCTGTGACTGTGTCTCACCTCAGCTAAGTGTGTATGTTTGACATAGACATGTGCAACCCTGTCATCTACATTGGTGGTTTTTCATGAGGGAAATGATGGGGCAGGACTTACCAGCCGTGATTAAATTGTTCCCAGGTTTTCAGGGACTCAAATGGCCAAGATTCTGAGATGGGAAGGTAAGATAAGAAGGGAACAGGGGGGCATTCCTCCACAGTAGAGGCTCCAGTGACTTCCCTGTCTCAAGGACTTGGTTGAGTAAGTAAAAATCGTAATAGAGGACTGTTGCAAGCAACCTGAACTGACTGCTAAGACGATAACTTTTATTTTATTTTTTCGAGACGATAACTCTTTATGGGAGTAGAAAGCTTCAACTTTCTCTTGTGGAACTGCTGGTGGGTTTGAGCCAGGGCTCCTGATAGAGCCTATTATGTTTCGACAGACCAGGGACCTTCTGCCTTTTAAAAGTATACCCAAAATTACCTGCCTTTGGGATAGGTTGAAAGTAAGATGTGTGCCTCCTAGGAAGGCCTGGGTGAAGTTCTTGGCCTCTCCACAACTAGGTACGTAGCAGAGAAGTCAGGAGGGAATCCCGCACAGATAAAGGCGCTAACTCACCAGTTACTATAAAGGTGCTTTTAAGTGAGTATGTTTCATTTTATGGAATTTGGGTAATATGTCACACAAGGTCAGCAGTTTGAAACCACCAGCCACCTCCAAAGGAGCAAGGAGAGGCTTTCCACTCCCATAAACATTTCCAATCTTAGAAACCCAACAGAGCAATTCATCTTCCACGTATCTTTTAAAGTAAATAATTTTTTTCTTTCTTTCTTTTTGATGATTTGCAAAAGTTTGGCTCATGTGTCTGGGTTTATTCAGGAAATACTTAGAACTTGTGTTAAAAAAGGCTTATAGCCTCCCCCCAGGGGGATGAACAACAGAATCTGTGGGGGAAGGGAGACAGCGGTTGGTGTAAGATATGAAAATACCCTAATAAAATGATTAAAAAAATAAAGTAAAATGATGCTCAAAAACAAAAAAAAGAAAGAAAAGAAAAAAGATGTGAAAATGATTACAATTTATCATTTATCAAGCAGTCACGAAAGTGGGAGGGGTGGAGGAAGGGAAAAAGAGGAGCTGATACCAAGGGCTCAAATAGAAAGTAAATGTTTAGAAAATAATGATGGCAACATATGTAAAAATATGGTTGATACAATTGGTGTATGGATTGTAAGAGCCCTCAATAAAGTTATCTTTAAAAAAACAACAACTACCAAATAAACAAATAAAATGGCACGAGAATTATTTTTTAAAAAAAAGACATAGTGGTGTTTCCAGGTCATGGTAAGGTGTCTTTTCAATAAACCAAACTTTTGAGCAAATTAAATTTAAGAACATCTGTCCACCTTCTTAACTAGCATTGTGGATAAACTCACAAATGGAAGAATTTAGAGATACAGAGGATTATGGGTTGTAAGTAGATTATTAGTTACAAAAATATTTCTATCTGGCACCTGAGTAAACGTGTATTTGTAGCTGACTGGGGCTAAGTGTTCATATGTTCTTGTCCCTGGTGCACATGCTAAGTAATTTAGGAGAGTATGATTACGCTTGTTGACAGGAGAAACTCCAAATGAGATTAGAAATTTGCCACTGACAATGCTTAGTATGAATAACATTGTTTAATGATAGTTTCCCAGAATAACAGCTCTCATAAGATGGAACACCTGAGAGGAAGGAAACTCGGATTGAGCAAAGTTGTTGCTGCATGGTGCCAATGAGCCTGTTTCCTTTTTTGGGGGGTTGTGGTTTTATTTCCTTTCTTTTTAAAAATTATTTTAGAACAGCTTTACTGGCACTTCGTGCACATATCATACAATTTCATAGTTCAATCATATCAAGAAGAGTTGTACAATCATTACCACAATCAATTTTAGACGATAGTCTTCGTCCTTGTACTCATTATTAGTGGAGTTTTTCTTTTTTTAAAAAATTATTTTTTAATCGTTTTATTAGGGGCTCATACAACTCTTATCACAATCCACACATGCATCAGTTGTGTAAAGCACATTTGTCCATTCATTGCCCTCATGTTTCTCAAAACATTTCCTCTCCACTTAAGCCCCCGGCATTAGGTCCTCATTTTTCCCCTCCCTCCCCGCTCCCCCCTCCCTCATGAGCCCTTGATACTTTATAAATTGTTATTTTGTCATATCTTGCCCTGTCCGATGTTTCCCTTCATCCACTTTTCGGTTGTCGGTCCCCCAGGGAGGAGGTCACATATAGATCCTTATAATCGGTTCCCTCTTTTGAGTCTGTTTCAACCCCTAGCGTCCCTATGCACAACAGAAGGAAACCCTGCCCTGTCCTGCACCATCCTCACAATTGGTCCTGTACCTGAGCCCACTGTTAGAGCCACTGTGTCAGTCCATCTTATTGAGGGACTTCCTCTTTTTGGAGGTCCTTCCACGTAAACCAGCACGATGTCAGCTGACAATCAAACTCACTGCCATCGAGTCCAGATTGACTCACGGGATGGGGAGAGCTGCCCCTGTGAGTTTCCGAGAGAGGTAACTGTTCACAAGAATAGAAAGCCCCATCTTTCTCCCTGATGTCACCTTAGATGCATTTATTTAAATTAGCTGCTAATGTATGTCACCCAACCTTCCTCTACTGATTTGTAGCTTTAGGCGTCACTGGCAATATAGCCTTGGAATGTGCAATCTTTTAACGGGTGGTGGTGTGCTACTTACCAAAATCATTTTTACAAAGAGTTTCCATTATGTCGTTGTCATCCTCACTTTTACTTTTGCAGGCTTCACACACCTTTGGTGCTGGAATGCAGAAGAGCAACCGTTAGGAAGTTCACGGAAAAGGCAACAGCAGGTGGCATTTGTAAACAACTCCAGAGCCTTCTTTAGGCTAGAGCAGCAATTCTCCTAGAGGACCCCAGCTTCGGCCTCAGCCAAGTAGGCTCACTTCTTCCTCCGAAAGGACCCCAAGTCTCTCCATTCTGGGTTGGGTAAAATGAAAATGCTCGAATGCTGTGTTTCCCCACACAACAAGGGAGCTCTGGACGGACTGAGCAGGTGGTGGAAGCTGTGGCTGCAGGTTGGAGCACGTCACCTCTTCCTCCCCACCCCTGGAAACAAGACCACCCCCCACCCCCAAGGAGAAAACACCGACAGAGCCCAAGATCCTTGGGGGATTCCAGAACACTGGTTACCAACAAATAGGGCTGTGGGCCCCCAGTGCAGGCTAGCCTCTGCTGGGCTCTTAGGAACAGCACTGTGTCTGAGGAGCAATTTCAAGATATTCTCAAACCTGGAGTGGAAGGGGTGGCTAGGGTTGTGAGGATCACGGACGGGCTATTTCCACCTTGTGAGACTATCCCTCACTAAGGACAAGAGCCTGGTGCAGGTGGTTTGTGTCACCTCTACTTTCTGGCAAGTTTGAGCTTTTAAGCGGCACTTGTTTCATATCGATGCGGGACTTCTCCGTTAGAGGCACTTCTTGCCCTGCTTGGCCGGTTTCAAACTCTTAAACAATCAAAACACACAGAGCTTGCCAGAGCTTACCAAAGAGGAAGCAAAACCATCTATGAGAGCTGAATGAAGCGAGGGATTGTGCGCTAGCACAATGACACCAAGTGGATGGTGGTGGGGGGAGGGGAGGAGAGGAGAAAACATCTCCCCCTCCTTCCATTTATACATGTGCTAACAGGGTCTTTTCAATGTAGATGACATGAGATTTCCATGAATATGAAATGGAATTTTCACAGAAAGAGTGTGTGGGCAATCATAGACGATTGAAAAGAAATCAGTTTAGACAAAGTACAAAGAGCAAATTCTACTGAACATCAGCAACTCTTATTTTGAAGTGGGAAAATGATTTAAATTGTTTTTAGAGACATGTACAAAGTAGATGTTGAGGACTATAGTGAGAGAGAAGAAAGGAAACACCCAAACAAGGCTGTCTTAGTATTTCCATCAGCAGCTAGGAATGTATATAAAATGTTACTAACCTGCCTTGGTTGGCTTTTGGTATATGTTGGACAAATGTTTGAAAAATGCCAAACATTTGCAATAAATTAGAAATCTAACCAATAAGATGCTTGGAAAGGCACAGTGCCTGCCAGGAAAGCTTGCTAAACAATTTTGCATTTTCTTTAACTAATGATGGATGTAGGAAACCAATTAGGGACTGAAAGGGAGATGCTGTCGAATGCCTTGAAAGGGATTAGGAAGCCCCTTTTCCATTCCCGAGGGACCTAAATCAGCTCAGATGTACTCCTTTCAGGAAACCGTATACAATACCCATGAGGTTTCCATTGCCCTGGATAGTTTGTGCCCAGAATTTCTCTTTCTTTTTTCTGAAAAACAAACCCCGAAACAAACAAAAAACCAAA